TCTGTATTGTGAGTACCCCCCTGATCATTATATGTTTGTTTTGCTGCCCTGTCAGCTCCTTGTTCTGTTAATAAATCTCTTATTTTATATATACATCCTGAGTCTTTGCCTGCCTGCACCATTGGGTTAACCAGCACTAGCCTTTTGTGACACTTATAGTCTGGAAATTATGGTATATTTCCTTCTTTGCTGTTTTAGTGACTTTCTCAAGCACAGTTGTGTGTTTGTGCTTCTGTTTACCTGCATATCTGTGAAGTTAGGTGCCGACTGTGTCCTTTGTAGAATCTCTAAACTCTGCAATAACCGGCTTAGCTCAGTCAGGTTGGACTGACAGCGCGCGAGCTCTAAAAAAAAGAAAAAAAAATCACATCCAGGAGTTCACAAACACATTACGTGCCACGAAATAGTCGCCAATCCACTTCTGAGGGATTTATCGAAAGGCGGGAGGCTCAATTTAATCCACTCATTTTATAAAATCAGATTTGTTTCCGACATCAGGAGGGAAATTACACTTACCCTCTGCACACTTGTCCATCTCCTCTGACTCCTGGAGCCAAGCGGCCACCTTGCTCTGTCCATTGCTGTAGGAGGCAGGCAGGCTGCTGCTGCTTGGGGCTGCCGGCTTCCAAGACGAGCAGCTTGACTTGGCCTGCTGTGGTGATGCGATAGTAGACAGGGTCAGGCTTACGCACTTGTTAGGAGTTTTACAAGGTGGTAATGTTACTTTATCAACACCAACATCCTCAAAGTAGCTATTTTATTCTGGATTAGTACATAGCCTGAGGCTTCAAATCGCTGTTTGCACTATTCTGTACAGAACGTCAGAGGGATATGAATGGATATTTTAAGCCAAAATGAATTTTTGTTGTCCTTGATCATCTCTTGTAACCCATCAACGACAACTGCAGTAAATTTAGTTTGAAAATCAGTCCCCTTTTCTCTGTTTCAGAGGTATAAATCTTGGATACAGCTTGATATTGCTGTTAGGTGCTATGCTTTAGGTTCATATAGCCATTGACACAACAGATCAAGTCTGACTTGAGGACTGGAGTTGTTTTGTTTTAAAGCTGATCTTCTGGGAGAGCTCATCAGGCTGAACTCAAATCCTACTGATCACCTCTAATGGCCTCCACATGGCACGAGGCATCAATCCCAGGAGGAGCCACAACCTCACATTTGATTCATACACACTGACAGCAAACATGTTTCCTGCTAAACCGGAAAAAGACAAACAACTCTTTTTGTTCTCCTAATGGTTTGGATATAATTGCCTGTCCAATCAGCTTTAAAGCACTCGGCTGATATTTGTCTATGATTCACATGCATTAGTCGAACAATTAGTCCCATAATCCAGAGGACATAGATCGAGGTAATAACTAAAACAAGAGCAATATTTTTACAGCACCAATTCCAACCAGTTGTTTTTATGTATGACAACGGAGAACTGTCCAACAGCTGTGTACAATGACAGACGCACAGACGTCGTCTTATCTGGAAGTATCATCTGTCATCACTGTGCATGTTTGGTAAATTTTACTTCCCATTTTCAGAAAATTATTCTGGTGCAATCTCTCAGTTTCTAATAAAATATCTTATGTTACGCATAAAGCGCCCCTCCTGAGTAATAATCACAGGACTGCTAAGAGCACAGAGAAAGACTAATTGTGATCCTGTACTCATTTATTTCTCTGACCTTGTTGGAAACTATGATGAGGTTAATGAAGAAATGGTTGAAGAAATGTGTCAGAACTTAAGAGGACAACTGCCTGGCAGCAAGAACCCATGACAAAAGATCAACAATAATCCTCTTGTTTTAGAAGATGTAGCAGCAAGGCACCATGGGCCAAAAATATATTTCTGCCCATTAAATAAATTGTCCAGTGTTCCCTGTGCTAAAGGAAACCACAATAAAAGCATTAAAATGATTTATTTAATGGCCGTCACTTATAGGAGAGACTTCTATCATTTTACTCAGGAATGCAAAGTAATCTATTTAAACTGGTCAACAGCTTAAATGAGGAGATTTCTTGGTGTTTTGTATAAATGACAAGTGCATCTTTTTGGCAACACCCTTTATTTTCCTAAAAGGATTGTTGCAGATCATGCTTATGGCATATCAGACCAATATGGCACATAATAAACTGTAGCTTCAGCTGGTGGGTCAAACTTAAAGATCAATAAAAAATAAAACATTTTCACACAATTCTGTCTAAAGCAAATATTTGGATGTGTATTTTTCTCATTTGTTCCATTTTGGAGCCCACCTTGGCTTCATTCACGACACTCGGGGCTGGTTGGGGCGAGTCCATCACAGCTGAGGGAGGAAACACCCTCATGGTGGCCTCCCGGGGAGATCGTACGATCTCGTTCTGTCTATAAAGCCTGTGATGACGCAGCTTTGACACCCAGGCATCAAATATATCTTGTGACTTGACCTAAACAGGAAGCAGACGGTGACGGTTAAACCTCGGACATCTGCTGAGCTTATCAATGTAAAATCCTGAGCCATCACAAGTGTTACCTTCAGGTGATAGATATGCTCCTCTGTGTCCAGGTCGATGCGACGAGCCTTCTTTTTAATAGACATGACGGAGAGGCCGACATCAATGCTGCCGTGGAGTTTCCCTTTTTGAATCTGAGGATGTTGAAAAATAATCTGATTGTGTCGATAAGTGATTTATGCAGAAAAATTTAGGCACTACGATTAAAAGTTCCTCCAGCTGGTGCAGGATTAGCTCTGCCTTCACAGTAACTTCTTACATTTCCACTTTGTCAGACAGCGTTTAGCTTTAGCGCTGAAGCCACACTGTGAGCCGTGCTGCAGATGTTTCAGCTGACTCTCTGTCGAGCCGAGCAGAGGCCGGGCATGGCGGCCCTCTCTCTGCCTGCCGGTTATAGTCAGAGTTACTTACATCAACAGGGGACTTGGAGTACTTCAGGATACCGTTGTCCAGAACAAAAAAACGCTGCAGAGACAAACAAGCACCAGCGTTGGTTAAATCTGAACAGGGATTGGATTATAGTCAACTCTTTAAAACTAGATGTTTAATTTAACTTGTTTTACAGTAGTCCCTCGCTACTTCAGGGTTCGTTTTTCACAGACTTGCTCTATCGCGGTTTTTCAAAATAAGACACACAATTGGCTGATTGATGGATGAGCCGCACGATCGGCATGGAATTTTTATTTAAAATTATTTAGCACCTGCTGCACCTGTGTGCAGCCCACACTGCAGGAGAAACTTCCTCCTGCAGCTCCTCCTCCATCCTCCTGCCTCGATCGCCGTTCTGCAGTGGAGAAGTGGGTGTGGCCAAGAGTAGTTGTAGCAGAGAGCTGAAATCATGACATGTGCTCTTTTAGAGCGACTTTAGAAACATTGTTTACAATATTGCAAGAGTGCGGGAGGGGTTTAAAATGCCTTTATATATATATATATATATATATATATATATATATATATATATATATATATATATATATATATATATATATATATATATACATATATAGG